CATAGGTGGCAGCTACCCAATAGACAATGGTCAAGAACTTGGTGCGATAGTCGTGATACAACTCATGGCAAGCTGCAAAGCAGTGATAAATGATTTCCAAGGACTTCCATAAAACAAAGTATCACCCACATTGCTTGAGGAACAGGCGCAGAGTAAACCAAATGCAGCGCTGCAACAGTTGTGGCGGCATCTGCGGCGATGGCTGCGGGCGGCGCGTGTGTGTTATCTTCAGCACACAGGGCGTTATCTCCTTGATGTAGGCCATATAAACGCAAAGCTCACCCAGGTGCTCCACGTCCACGGCGAGCTGACGCCTGCGCCACTTGAAGGGCATGGCAATAATGCCATAGAATATCGGACCGGAGAACACAATCGTCAGGATTAGATATGGCCAGATATCCAGCTTAAAGGGACGCATTATGGCCAAGGCCTCGTTGAGGCGACGTGGCGCATGTGTGGCAAAGGCGCCCGAATCGGCGAGAGTGAAAAATGAGAACTCAATTGCCTTGCGACGCTCCCAGCTGAGGCCCACATCCCCCATAAAGAAGTCCGCCAACTGTAAGCCAAGACAAACGGAAATGAGTCAAAGTACCCAAAATTGCTATAGTCGCGAGTGCCCGACTACAAAATACCCTGTACTCTGTACCTGATTGTAATAATAATAATAATATTAATAAATAATAATATTATAATAATAATAATATTTAGTCGAGTGTGCCCGACTAGAAAATACTCTGTACTCTGTTCATAACACAACATTATAGTAATAATAATATTATTATAATAATAATTATTATTATTATAATAATAATATATAGTCGAGTGTGCCCGACTAGAAAATACCCTCAACTCTGTTCATAACATAACATGATAATAATAATAATAATAATAATTAATTTATAATAATAATAATAATATATCGTCGAGCGTGCCCGACTTGAAAATACCCTGTACTCTGTACATAACATAACATGATAGCAATAACAAAAATAGTTATTATTATAATAATAATATACATATAGTCGAGTGTGCCCGACTAGAAAATACCCTGCACTCTGTACATAACATAACATTATAGTAATAATAATAATTATTATTATAATAATAATAATATATATTCGAGCTTGCCCGACTAGAAAATACCCTGTACTCTGTACATAACATAACATGATAATAATAATAATTCTAATTATTATTATTGGTATTAATTATTATTATTATTAATAAATTATATTATTATTATTTCAGGAATATCTTGCTACTTACGCCGCTTTGGAGCATGCCAATGCCGCCTGTGAAGCTATCGTTGGACTCCCCATTGTCATCCGGTGCTCGCAAAGATCCTTGTGTCCTGCCTGGTGCTTCAATGTACATAAATTGAAAGTTCATATGCTGCGCCAACAGCATCAACAATCGATGATCACGTCCACCGGTCACATTCACCTCATTGTACTCGAGATTCTCGTAGTCATCCAAAGGATCCTCGCTGCTGTTGCCAACATTGTTGCTATCATTGTTGTAGCTGACCCAGAACCAGGGCGGGGACTGAAAATAAGAAAATGCTATCGGTCATAATATTGTCTTGCTGAGATAGGAAAGCATTTCGTCTAGAAACCCCGAACACTTTTTGAAGAACTGTGAAAAAATACTGTGATGTCGCCAAATTCTCGTTTTGGAAGTTATAAAGGCGACAGACGACAAGCTTAAAATGTATATTTTGAATCGATTTCAGTCAAGATTTCAAGGTATTTAAGCAATATTTTGACTCATTTTAGTTGCTCACATGAAAAACGGGTACACGAAAAACGCGACCCTCTAAATTGGCATAGACTGTGGCGGCGCTGGGCAGGAGGGGGGTCTTCTGGAGCCCCAGGTTGTCGCCATCGTACCAGTTGACCAAACGCAGGTGGCTGGTGCCCGTGGGCATCGCCTGATTGTAATAGATGCGAAATGCCTTGCGACGCGGCCTTGTGATGACCACCGCTCGCATTGGCTCCTCGAAGCTCACACGCGTCGCATTAGGCGGCTGTCTGGCGCCCCAATAGAAGATGAAGAGGCTGAGCCGATGGGCGAGTCGCCGTTCCTGTATGCGCGCCGATAGCTCATCTGGTTCGTGGAATATCAAATTGACGCATTCGATGGCGCCCAACAGATTGGCTTCGATGTAATCAAAGAACAGCTCCGTGTCATAAAAGATGACTGACTTGTAGTAGAGCCTATGCAATCGCTGAATAAACCCATCCACTTGGATGGTGTCATCATTCACGCAATCCGCATCAAACAGTCGCGAGCCGGGCATAACCAATATGGCCAGCTGGCGTGGCTGCAGGCCATTGATGATCTGCGAGAGGGCTGTATTTTGAGTTGAATTGAATTAAATTGAATTAAATTAATTGGACTGGAAAGTGACGCCGCCTCATTACCTATTGCCACATCGGATTCGTTGCACGGAATGTAGCTGAGCTTGGCCCAGGTCGGGCCCAGCGGGCAGACCATTAGAAACAGGCGAAACAACAGGCTGCACTGCATGGCGATACCTGGTTTGGCAAGTCCTGGGCCACGCCCTTTTATAGTGCACTTTATGATAGCTTTTTGATGCGCAATTATAGCATCAGGGCTTAAATACCACATGTCAATCGACAGACAGACAGACAGACAGACGGACAGACAGTTGAAATGTGGCCGGGCTAACTATCGATTTTCATAATCATCAGCATTGGGGCCTTTAACTGGGCCCACAGAGCGCACAGCTACTAAGTTATTTCTTTTTATTTTTAATTGTCAGAAGTTTGTCATTGCCGTTTTCGCTGACAATTTCTGTTCCCTCCAACACTCTCTCTCTCGCTCTCGCTCTCTCTCTAACTGTCTGTGGATAGATAGATGGTTTGTTGGAAAGATCCATGATCGTTGCCAGTTGTTGTTGTCGTCAATCTTCTAATGCTATTGACATTAATTCCGTGTTGTGCGCATTTTTCTTTTTACCCCGTTTGCCGCTCTCAGCTCACATGTCAACGCTCCACTTTAATGCGCCATTCAATGATTTATCGCAATCGGAGCCGCGGCAGCAGCAGCAGCAACAGTAGCAACAGCGGAGATTACAAATGTGGATGGATACTCAACTAGTTTGTGGGCTGCTGTGGACTGCAGCATGATTCTATTGCAAACTAAGGACACAGGTGAGAAACATATCTACACACACATTTCTTTGTAGATGACTTGCCTAGCTGACTCGGTCAGTTAGGCAAAAGAATAGCAAGGATCTGTTTGCGGATGTAGTCAAATTTCAGACAAGTGCTACATTTTTGTCCGATTGTTCCTATATTTCTTATCTCACCCAAATGGCAATCAATGAAAGTCGCTTTAAGCCGTTTTGTTTAACCAAATTGGTTTATGACGCCAATTTTGGCCATAAGCTCCCACAGCGCCAGCGTAGCTTTAAGAAGCGAAAGAGAAAACATAAAAAAAAAACTAGAAAGATGACCCGATTATGATATGAGCGCGTAAATATAATGGATATAAATATATGTATGTATAGATATATTATTTATGCCCAGATTGTAATGGGAGTAACAAAACGAGTAGAATATCTGAGGGCTGAAACGGAAACTGAGGCCTTGCATGACCTTTGATCAGAGCTCACACACACACACAGCTAGATATAGGCATTATAGAAATCTGCAATGGTCGAGTCTCTGGCTATTTATAAAGCCGGCTAACAACAACGAAAAAAGGACGTAAAACAAATAAACCCCGCGCTCTGCGTTCGACAACTTGTTAAACTTCAAACTGTCTGCAAACGCGACATTGTCTGATAAACGACAACAGCAACAACCAGAGGAAGAAGAAGAAGAAGAGCAACGTCCATGCTGAGTGGGCAACTGTCTGGCGATTGCATCTGCTCCGACTCCAACTCTGAGTCTGACTCTGAGTCTGACTCTGGCCAAGAGCTGATCTGAGGCCAGGATGCAGCAGCAGCAGCACGCCAACACTTTTTGTTTCAACGCGCACGATAGTGAAATGTGGCCCGGTTCAGTCGATGGGACCGGCCCTTCGATCGATGCCCCTGCCGTTGCAGCTGCCCCTTGCCCCATGCCCCATGCCGCATGCCCCTGCTCGATGCAACAGACAGCCTAAGTGGATTGCAGTATGTTATATGTAGCTCGGCTAGATGGCTGGGATGGCTGCCGGCACGTTTAAATGCACTTTGTTTGTTTTGCCAGAGAGCAACGTGAGCCGCGATCCGCGAGCCGTGAACCGCCCTCTCATCACCATAACGAGCTGTCAATTGCTGCAGCTCGCATGTAAATCACTTACCGAAGTCACTAAGTCAAGCGTCTCACATAACACTCGAGTCAGGACCAAAAATTACAAAAAAACAAACAAACTGATATTATAGGGAAACCAACGGAACCTTCAGAAAGATAAAGAAGAATCGAACCCTAAGTCAAAACAGATATCTTAAAAGCAAACGTGCGAGCCTGAACCGAATTATATATTTTCTAAAAATCAGTTAAGCTCAAAATGCAATTATTTGTTAAATAATACAATGATCCTTAATAACTTTGCATCTATTTAACCATTTTTGGCAATTGCATATTTGTCCCTTTCACATTTATTATATGCTTCTCCATATATTTCAGGCAATATTGTTACCTATTTTCTGTAAAAACAAGATTAATTTTTGTGGGTAACTAAAATCTTCATCTAATAACTTTTTTCAATGGAACCTATAAGAAATAGTGCTTTATTAATTAAGGATGTGTGAGATATATAACTAAAAACGTTGGCTAGCAAACTACTGTATGTAAAAAAAAAGTATTCATTCAAATATGTTTGGAGTTATTCCTATTTCAACTTTTGGGTACATTCATTTCAAATTTACTGGTGACAAGATTGTTTGGCAATCTGTTAACTTTATGGATTGGTGGCTTGTTAAATTAATAAAAGATGAAATCGTGTTTCGATAATTGAAAAGCGTAATAGAAGTACATAAGGGAAATCTAGAATAAACCAAATATGAAATCCCACAAGCAACAGTCATTATCATTGTCCTTGTCGTCATCGTCCAGTTCCTTGAGTTTTTTCTTTAACTTCTTGAGTTGCTTCTCATCGCTAAATATCGCTTTGAAGACGCGCTCCGTAAATTTATCATAGACACCCAGTTTTCGTAAAAGTTTGAGCACCCTTTTCTCAAAGGCCGTATACGATGTGGCACGTGTTCCATCCGCACGGATATCGCGTAGCAGATCCTGATCGGAGCTCGAGTCGGTCGAGCTGTCTGCCAAATTTATTGAATTTAGCTCCAGTTCGCGGCGCAGCATGTCGTAGGCGAGATACTCGTTGTAAGCCTTAATCTTCTCATCCAGCTGAGCGATGGGCAGAGCAGCCGCCATTTCCAGGCGCACATATTGCCGTAGGAATTCTCCATTTTCCGTTTGATTTCTCAAATGCTCGTATTGCTTCAGCATGCTGTTGATCCTGTCCGTAACTATGTTGTCCAGCTGCAACAGCTGCTGCATGGGCAGCAAGGACTCCCCACGGATGCACTGCATCAGCATCAGTAGCAATGCTAGCGCTTTGATTGCTGTTGACATGTCTGCGAACTTCTAGCTTTAACTAATGACAGACAATCTGCCTCGACTGCCTTTTAAAGCGTACCCAGCTCCCCGATAAGCTTGAGTTATGAACCGACATTTATGGAGTTTCCAAGGCGTCCAATTCCAACTAGTGACCCGCATTGGGTTTGCCGTTGCTGAACTAACATAGGAGGTCAACATTGCTTTGGTGTTCACTTTTTATGTTTGACAATCGCAAACAAACTAGCGTACATAATTTATGAAGTATTGCATTTTTAAGTTCTTTTAGAAGCTGTTCGTATTAAATATTAGAAGGGCCTATTTAAATTATACAAGTACATTTTCATTAAGCAGTTTTTAACCTCCAGCTAATCGCCCTTCTATGCGATTCACATTATGCGCACCATTCAAAAACCATCCTTTTCTTGTGAATAATATCAAATTTAATAAACAAAACTATCCATCGAATGTTCCCCATCTTAAAACGCGTTTTAGACCCAAAAGAAAGCTGAAGTAAAAAGCAGGACAAAGTCTTTCAAGATTAATGAGATTTTGAAAATCCATTCTATAGCTTGTATGTTCTATTCAGAGTATTTCTTAGGTCGATTCTCTTTAGGTTTTAAGTAATCATATATTTGAAAAACTTACTCAGCTAGTTTTAAGGGCTTTTTTTCTATAATGTCATCCTGATGATCTGGAAAAGAGAAGAAAAGTCTGCGATGTTTAATATTTTCAGTATATTTGGGCTTGAAAGTGATTATCAATAGATATTTTTATATTTTTAGTTAAATATTGATCATTTTAGATACAAGTGCACTGCATATCCTTTTTTCCTTTTTGTTAAAAATGGTTGTACAAATTTCTTGCAAGTATATGTTATATATAATAATTCATATTTTCGTGTAGTATAGACATTTCCAGAATATCTCCTAAAAAATGTTGTTAAAGGTGCATATATTATCGCGGTTTGATTTATCACATGTTTGAATATTATTTATTTACAATTTATATTCTAATATAATGATAACATAAGAAAAATGCAGTTTTGTTTTGTTTATTTTTATTATTATTATTTTTTTATAGTTGTTGGTATTTATATATGTATATATATATAAACATATATTTAAATATATTCAATAGATTTCCTTTTAGGCATTTGTAAATTATTTTCATTTGACTTCATTCGATTGAGGGCAAATATATTAGGCCAGATGCAACAGATTCCAGTACCTTCCTCTGATTCCCAGCTGTCTTGAGAATCCTTATGATGGCAATCTTCAGTATGCAACTTCAGTTTGTACGACTTTAAGGCATTTGGTTCATTGAGGGCACTCCGCAATTCCTTTTTTTGGTTGCGAAAGAAAGCTTTGCACTGCTTGCTAAGTTTTGCATCCAACAATAAGCTATCGATGACATCGATCCGGCTGGTCAGATCAGCTTCCAGTTTGAGTCTGAGGAAATTATAACTCAAAAAATTATGATAAGCTTGCGTTTTTAACTGCAAGGAACTTGAGTCCAGATCTGCTGCGTTCCGTAAAAGCGCTGTTTGCTGATCGAATTCCGAATTCCCAATAAAATGGCCAATTTTGGACGTCTCTAAAAAGTGCTGAATCTTGAGATTTAACATCTCGTTTTCCCTCTCAATAGTATCCTGTAAAACCTCTGGGTTATTTTCATTTTGGACCTTGGGAGTCCCTAAGTCTTACCTTTTTTGGGGTCGATGGTGTTGACGATATGATTGGTGATACTTTCGATGTTGTTGGTGTTGTTGTTGGTGTGGTTGATGGTGTTGTTGATAGTGTTGTTGTTGGTGTGATTGATGGTGTTGTTGATGGTGTTGTTGATGGTGTTGTTGATGGTGTTGTTGATGGTGTTGTTGATGGTGTTGTTGATGGTGTTGTTTTTGTCAATGCTGTTTCATGTGGTGTTCTCAATGCTGATTTCGATGCTCTTTTCGATGATCCTGTTAACGATGCTGTTTTCAATGATTCTGTTGACGATCCTTTTGACGATGCTGTTGTCGTTAATTCTGTTGACGATCCTTTTGACGATGCTGTTATCGTTAATTCTGTTGACGATCCTTTTGACGATGCTGCTGTCGTTGATTCTGTTGACGATCCTGTTGACGACTCTGTGTTCAAATATACTGTCAGTTCACTTGTCTTTTGTGATCGATTCATTTGAAAGTTTTGTTGACGAACATGATGACATACCTGATTGTAATTTTCTGGACAATGTATTTGTAGCTTCGCCTAATAGTTTTGTATTATTTTGCGCTAAGTTGATGCTACCCATGGTCACTTTAAAAGCCATATTAAACGTTTGTAGATATATTTCAAATTTTAGCTGCACCATTTTAATAAAACTTACATGCTGTGCAGAGCACCAGACATAAAATAACCATACAGGATCGTATGTTTTCCATGTTGAACTTGGCTTTTTGTATTGAAACTAGTTGGTTAACTCGATTGGACTTCCCACTTTTATATACCCAATCTGTGAATCGCAAAACTATTTTGCTTTAGATAAAACTTAATAGAAAGTGTCAGAACAACATTTTCAATGTTTTCATATTTAAGTTATGGATCATTTCCTCATTCTTCACAATTCCAAGCTTAACTAAAAAGTAAAAATTCCCAGAATTTCACGTTTGAAGAATTGAAGAATCGTTATCGTTCAAACTGTGTAAGATTCCATATCCATGTGTCCATATATGTAAGAACGGAAGAGATTAATTAACGATTTCCATAGTGTGTAATGCATATTGGCATATCCATATATATATAGAACGGAAACTATAAATTCATAATTTTTATAGAGTGTAATGCATCGATTTTATTATAAGCTGCAACAATTAATACACTCTTCAGCTGGGTTGACGAATTTAGACGATATTCATCTCTTTTCAATCTTTTTCTTCTGTGTCGTTTTCAAGTCAACAACGAAGTTGTCCAAAACTCTGATGACCTTTTAATTATTTATAACAATGTCAAGCTATTATATAAAAAAACATTTTGCTGTAATTTGCATTATATGGATACTTAAACGGATGGCAAGGATTTGGGACAACTTTAAAAAAATCTTAATTTGTATATTATTTTTATTTATTTCTTGTAAGTTATTTTTAATTTTTTATAAACGTATCGAATTTGGATTGATATTTGTTCGTTTTGGCAAGGTTTATTTTAATAAATTTAAATTTCAACGGTTTTAAGCATGGCATCCACAAAATGTGGAACCCAACAGAAACAGCTGCACTCAGGTGAGCAGACGCGAGCACAGGTGAGAGATAAGAGACTCTCTGGGGGAGAGCGCACGATCCACAAGAATGACGATTACAATGACGAAGACGACGACGACGACGACGACGACGGCGACGATGTGGTCGGTCGTTCGTCTTGCTGGTCTTGGTGTCTGGTCTGTGCTGGTCTTGCAGTTGGTTTCCCAAGTGGCCGAGGGTTCAGCTCAGTTCTTGAACGACTGCTGGCCGTGTTGGTAGCAAAACGCGGAACGCCACTTGAAACGTGTTAAACGCCGGAGACGTGTGTCGGAGGCGGCAGACGACGCGTTTGCTTTGGAAAGACGTTACTTTGTTCGGTTTATGGACATTTTTTGTGAAATGCAAAACAAAGTTCAAAGCCAAAAGCAAGTCACATTCACACACTCACACACGCAAACACACACAAAAGTCAACGAAGTGAAATTTAATTTTTGAATGCGATTTGAAAATTAATTGGCAAGAAAAAGGCATAAGTGATGGCAAATTAAGCGGGCTCTACTATAAAGAAATCGCTCCAAGAAACAAGTTTAAAGGTGCAACAACAACAACAAATGAAACGAAACTAATTATTTAATTGAAATCAATACAAAGTGCATACAAAATTGTGTATAAGCAAATAGAAAACAAACCTGTACAGAAAAAAATAAACCAAACAAGGCGTTTAATCGGGCGCAAAGTCTTCAAAGAGGTGCGTAAAATACAAATAAGTAATTTATATTTTGTAATTTTGCCAAATAGAAATAAAAACAGAGATATAAAAAAGAGAAACAGCTGAGAAAATAGGAACAAATAGGCAACTTATCAGCTGCTAAAACATAAACAAATGAATTGTTAAATTTGTCGAAAGAGTTTTAAATTATTGAACTTTTGGCTGTCTATTGTTGTTGTTGCCGCTGTTGTTGCTGTTGTTGTTGTGGTGTAATGCAAAGTTTGGAGCGTTCAAATAAATACGAAAATATACATGCTTATATACAGCAGCTACAAGCAACAACAAGAAAACTGTTAAAACCAGTTTTCAGCGGCGCATGCGCCAAACAGAACTACAACAACAAGAGCAACAACAACAGCAACAACAACAGAGAGAAGGAAATGTTGGTAGGGCCCCTGGCCGAGGCGAATCTTTGAGCAAACTGTGAAGAAGCCGGCCCGAAAGACGTACAACAACCAAAAAGGAGGCGCAACAGAAGCTGCAGCTGCAGAGACTCGATAAAGAACTTATCAAAAAATAAGCGCGCTAAGAAACAAATTTATCAAGTTCCTAAAGAGAACGAAAAAAAAGCAACACATAATAATAGAGAATCGTTTAGACTAGGAAACAGAACCGAAGGGCAAGGAACCAAGTAGCTACCAAGCACTGCAACACACTTGTGCAAACGAACGCATCAGTCAAAAAATGAAAAATAGAGTAAATAACACAAATTATATGTATTTCAAGGCCCCTTCGCTCCTAGTGCCCCCGCTAGGCATCCATCTACTATTTGCACAGCAGCCGCATTAACAGCACTGAAACACTTCAATTTCACAAATTTGTGTTCTTTTTATTTATTTTTTTGTTGATGTTATCTGAGCTGGCGCAGCTTAAGATACAAGCGTACGAGCAGCAGCGCCAGATAAGCGAGATAAGCTCAAAGAAAGGCCAAAAAGGTTTGATACGGCAACCCGAATATGAAATGCCCTAGTAAACGACTGATCCCATAGGAGACATATAATAAAGCAGTCCGGCTTGGCTAGGAGCATAGTTATCGCTGGGTATGGTTAATATATATCTTAAAAAACAAAAAGTTATCCATACACGAGCTTTTAAAGAGCATTATGAAAGTGGTATAATGATCCAATTTTGGAAATTTATATTGTGGATAGTTAAACGAAACGCGACCAGGTTTGAACTAAATCTTTGACGGATCATTCCTATTCCAGCTATATAATGTCGCGGTCTGATATTGTAACGATTTTTCTCGTAGTAATATTTGTCAATAATCTATATATAGTGGTTCGATCCGGACGATTCCAATAAAGAATAACAGAGCTATGCAATGTTTCGTTATGATAGCTTGGGAACTGAGACAATATGTAGTGTATATACTTTTTGGTTTACGTTACGCATTTCGTGACTAAATCCAGATGCCCTCAAGAAGGGTATAAAAAAGCAGAAGAGAACACAAAAATAAGCATCCAGCAACAGCTCAGATAGCCGGGCAACACCTGCCGCATGCGAAGGTAACACAGAAAAGGTACCCCCAAGGGAACAGCGCATCCCTGGCCAACTCTGGCTTGAGACTCTTTCCCCTGTCGGCGGCGGCGGCGGCGGCGGTCTTTTTCGGGATTTATTCATTCATGCATTTCGTGTCCGTTTCATTTGCTGTGCTCCTCTTTGTCTTGCATGCAAATTTTTGCGTTTCATTTTCTTTCGGCCGAGACATAAAAGTACATAAATATGTATGCATGTAGGTACATAGGTGTAGGTAGAATTACGTTGAGTGTGCATGAGAGACATACATAAACCAAAAAATACAGAAAAAAACATAAAAAACCGCACAAAACTCTTCGAACAATTCCTGAAAATGTCTGTTGTTTGCCGTGTTGCCCAGGGTCATGCCAAGTCACCAGCCAAGCCGAGCAACTTTCATTAAAGCCAAACCCACAATAGCACACCGGGGCATTATAATACATACAGACATATATATATATATATATATATATGTATATGTATCTGTGTGTTTATGTAGTTTACAGTTCGCCATATACCCCTGTCGATCTATGACTCTATGGAGCCAAAGCGTTCAATCAAACATAATGCAAGAGCATGTCAAAGATCACAGCAACAAACAATTTATGATTATAATTAAGTCCAGTTTCCCAGCCGCAACTTAAAATCGTTTTAAAATGGTCGGAAGATTGTTCTAGCCGCTCCCCAGTTTAGTTGCGAAATTACTAAAGACGGAAAAAAATATGATATGCACAAAAATGTGTATGCCATATTTTGTTGCCCTAACAACGAGTTGTTCAGTTGGGAGGTTTTTTAAGTCAAATATTTTATGACTGTCATAGAAACGAAAAAAAACAACTTGTTTATTAGCTTTGCCGTCTCTTATTTCATTTCACTTGCCTTTCTCTGTTTTATAAGAACTTTCAGATACAAGTCTTTTGACTATATATTTTGACAATCTGTTGGGGTCTTTGGGTTTTTGTCCTTGACAGCGCCCGCATGCGCAGCAAGCCGTAATTAGCTGTCATTGGTTTGCAGTTTGGGACTCTTGACTTTTGGCTCATCGCCAAATTAATCATTTGTTTAAAATGCCAAATTTGTTATTTTTTTCCTTTTATTTCCAATTTTTTTCTCAATTTTTGCGTATATGTTTTGGTTGGGTTTTGTTTTCCTACAATTAAGCAACTTTTGTGCAATTGTATAATAAAATTGTGGTCGTGTTTTTGATATCAAAAAAACTTTTGCTGGCGCTTTTTTGCTTACCCACGGCGAGGTTAAACTTTGACCTAGTTATTCAATTTGAAATGCCGTGTGCCGGCAATTCATCATGTAGCAAACGTTATTCACAAAATTGTGCAAATATTTGCATAGCCTGTCAAAGGGGCAACAATTAATTAAGAGTCTACTTTGCGGTGTCGCCGCTTCTTGAGATGCCTGCGTCGAAACCAAAAGTTTCTCGACTTTGAATTCTTTCTATTATTGTTTTGTTTTTTTGACCAGACATTTTTCTATATATAGCCAACACTTGAGTTTACGCACGGCAAAAGACAAACAATATAAGTTATTATCATATTGGTTATTTAAACAATGTGATCTGCAAAAAAAAAAAGTAACGAAATTAATAATAGCACTGAAGAGTCATCAAAATACTCTTAAAGCTGTCAACACGACGATTGTTTACGATGTGGGCGTATATGGAACTAGAGATGGCATTTACCAAGCGATAGCTATCGCATGGATCAGTTCAAGAAACTAGATAAACAAGCTATATGTGAATGAGAATAATGTCTAAATTAATTTAATCATTTTTAAATTGGCATCTCTACGTTCTTATAACAATTCAATTTCGGTGCGAAGCTGATTTTCCATATCGATAACCCAGATTCTGGTTCAAACTTTTTTTTTTGTCATTTAAATGCAACAATAATTGCCCGTTGTGCTGAAAATATTGTAAGCCATAAATATTTTCAATACAAGTTGCGGGCTAAATTTTAAATTCATTTGAGAACATTTTAACATTCTCTTTAAACTTTATAGACAAATTTAAACCTTCAACTCATATCTAAACTATTTAAACAGTTTTTTCACCCAAAAAGAATCCAGTTTGTGTTCAATTTATCTACGGATTCGTTCATGAATGTAGCTCTAGTTAGTCAGATATCATTAATCATTTGTAATATTAGAGAACCCATCGCTAAATTGCCAGAAATCGGAGCTCTTGTCAAGCTATTTTCTTGGCTCTTTCAGCGGGCGGCCCGGCATGCACTTGATAGTTCATTTAGCCAAATTGGGCTAACCTCATATGGGTGTTATAATATACATAAATTGTGCTCGCATATCGGAGCACGTATTACTGTCGATCGTTTGCGGAAGCAGCTATCGACAGTAAATGTATAGCGTAATACAATTTCACGCTTGAGACCAGGGCCAAGTAGTGCTGGCATTTTGGCTACTGGTTATAGACCGGACAATTAGCCACCAAAAAAAAAAAAAAAACTGTTTTGATTTGTTTTGTTTGCTGGCACTTAATAGATCAAAATGGAAATGGCTGGAGACTTGGATCTTGGGCATTTATAAATGAGATACATGTTAGAGGTCGTCTAGCATCAGAATACAAAGCTAAAGTCAAGGCAATAAACTGTAACAGCTTCTGAGCAATGGACTGAATCTAATTGGATTTAACAGCCTGCTGATCACAGTTGGTAACCCAACTGGATGGTATACCATATACATACATTTGTGTAGGCATATATGTATATATATGTATATATATATGAAAAAGAGTTATGGGAAGCCTGTAATTGGGTCACTTCGTCGGGGCAGCTGAGCCGTTATTCCATGTGAATGTCATGTGGAAATTATGTCACACCAAAGTTTGGCATGCCGAGGAAATGGTGCTCCAATAAAATACCAAAAAAAAAAAGAAGAAAGACAGAAAAAAAAAACAAAATTTCAACTCTTCAACTCATTTGCGGTCATGTTGCAAACGGAAAACGTCGCTCGGCCATAATCACAAAATAATAACCAAAAACTCGGCAATCCAACAGAGTAGCAAAGCCCCCTCTCTGCGGAAATAGCGGGTTTTTGGATTCCCAAACAAAGAGCGAGAGGGAGAGAGGGAGAGAGACAGATAAAGTGCCATCATAAACGCCATTTAATTGTGCAGAGAGCACTACGAGCACCAGCTGAGCCAAGGGAATGCCAGCGATAAGCCAACAGACATTGGACAATTGCCTGACCTGGTTTCCATCCGCTTAGCGGGGGCAGAAGGGGGCAGGGTGGCTCGTGGGGAAGTTGGGGTTATGTAAATTGACTGCACTCGTGAGTGCACTTACCAAAATTAGTTCACAACTTAAAGTTTTGGTTTCAATTTGAATTTATTTTACACTCACCTCAAAGGGGTATTTTGACTTTCGGAACTCGCAGGCGCGATGTATCCTACAAAAAAGAGTAGAATGAGAAATAAGAAAATATAACAGTGA